GCGATGGCGCAATTTGTTCTAAAAATAGAATTATTGTCCCATATCATGGGGACAACCCCAATACTAGAAATGGCGCGCGCTTACGGTCTCCGTCCCCCATTATAGCTCCTGGACAGACCCATGAAAAACTGACGTCAATTTGTTAAGTAACATTGTCGCGTTCCTGGATAGTACAGGGGACGGAAATGTCTTGATCGGAAGAATCGAATTTTTTCTCGAAATTAACTATTCCAATGAATAAAGCATTTAAAACATAGTTACCATATGCTAATGAGGCAAAATTTTGACCCAGTATGGTCTAAGCTCTCGTCAGCGACCACCTCCCGTGAACGACCACCTAGGCTTGACATTTTGGGTGGTCGCTTACGTGAGGTTCAACTGTACTTTGATTTTGTCAAGAAAACGTCCTTTTTTACAGAAACATTATCCTGTTCTGATTATTTGACCTTTTTTCTCAATTACCAAGGGTTGCCATGGCTGGTACTGATCTCACGGATCGGGAATTCATAGATATGCTTCTGAATCAAAAATCTGCTACGAACACAGCAGAAGAGTGGTTTCAATTTGAACAGATGCGAGAAGAGAGACACGACGAAAGCATTCGAAAACTTCAAGCCACTGTAGAAGCACAGGGTAAACTTCTTCAGGCCATGGCGGATAGGTTGAAAATTACAGATTAAAGTGAACTGATACTATTGCCAGTTTTACAGGGCCGTGGCTAGTGGCAGGCAAATCGTGGCACTTGCCTCAGTCATTTTATTTTTCGTTTTTTTTTTTTGTTTATAATCATCATAAACACCCTAAACACGTCCTCCTATGTAGCGAATTTCACACTAGACATGATCTTTTATTGGACGGTCCCAGTTTCGTGAGCACAAAAGCATTAATCAGGTGACTGAATACAGTGATTTAAACTGTAAATGATATTTACATGTACCGTTCTGCACAACATTTTCAGCAAGAATTCAAGAAAAGGCCCATGGAGGCTAGCTACATGTAGCCCTGCTGAAATAGATTAGGCTCCGCCACGAATTGTAAGTCATATCGTGGAGTCGTAATTCGTTATGCGTTATATTATGTAGATCGTTTTCATGTCAAGTGACCAGCGGTCGCCATATTGTTGTACTACGCCGTTTAGCAGTTATTGTAATGGCACTTAGTTTTTTCAGAACTCGTAACTTTCGATATGAACTTTATCAATTGAAATAAAGACACCTTATTTATTTATCGATGAAGTGAATTTAAGCGAGAAGTCCGAAAAATGGTCCTCCATGTCTCCATGCTAATTAGCTCTCGCAAAGGTCGTTTGTTACCGCACTCTTTTCACATTTCAGCCGAGTACAAGATTTTAACTTGTCTCATTGGGTAGTAATTTTGCTGCCGAGAAAAGAGTGAGTTTAAACGGAAAGAGTAGTTTAACTAAGCTGTGCATGGTTTGATAGCCATTTTATCTGAGATTTCACCCAGTTGGCGATTTTCGAACAGTTTGTGTCATTGGATGCCCTGAATATCCACCTTACAAGAAACGTTTTCTATTAATTTTGGACATCTTTGAGATGGCTCTCACTTGGCAATGCAAACTAGTTAGCATTATAACAATTTGATTTATACAACAAAAGCAGTGAGTCTATCAAAACAAGGTCACCTCCAGCCTCATTCAAAGGCCAGGTCACTGAGACTCGGACAATTGCAAAATGGTCTATTTAACAATGAAAGAAAACAAAAACCAAAATTTCAGTTTTATAGTCATAGCTGGAAAATATATGGTAACGCTAAATGGCTTTGAAATAGGCTTTATATAATAGTCGATCATGAATTCAAAAATGTTATGTCGAAATAAGTCTGATTACTATAATACCGTGAACCTCTGTATTTTAATCTGTATACATAGCCTTACGACTTCTTTTCTTGCTCTTGCTTATGTGTTACGTATTATGTTATGTTTCAAAGCAACAGAAGATGAAGGGTAACAAAGCAAATCTCCCATAAGGGCCTCATTCTCAAGACCCCTATTCTCTTATATCTTATCTCGGGCAGTTTATTTAAAATAAGGAATCTAGAATTCTGTTTTAACTGGCCTAATTACTCAGATATCTCCTTTTTATACTTGTAAATATATTTAATTCCCTATTTTATTTTATTTTGATCATCTGTGTATTGAATTTGCGTAAATAAATAAATACATAAATAAATAAATAAATTAAATAAATTACTGTCGGTTCTGAAAATCCCAAGAGAGTTAAAGGGGAGGCAATTCTAGCTCTGTGACGCAGATGTTTCTCAGATGGACAGCCCAAGTTGTTTTTACACACATTTTCATGCTCCTCGAAACCATCTACGGAACGCCTGCGGTAACCTCATCGGCTTACGATCTGGTACTGTGTCTAAAAATGACTTGAGACAGATTTTCTTGGGAATAAGTCCTATAAAGAGTGTTTTCGCTCACGTGGGCAGCAGCCATGCAAATTAATTGGAACAAAGAAAAGAGATGAACTCCCACAGGATTGGTTTGGTACACCAACTTGGCCGCCGTTTCATTGTTTTGGGACACCAATATCGGTGCCACGACATCCTTTAAAAACCCTCCTTAGGGGATAAACTCTCTTACCCTCCGAAAGTCATTTTCTCTCTTCCAAAATAGAAATATAACAAAGTGATCTTACAGCGACAGTGATTCATTATTATAATTTTCTTAACGTTTCAGCTGCACTTAACCGTATTAACGGTATTTAACTGTTTACCGAGCGCAGAAGACTGATAAATTAATTGCCAGCTAACTATGAAACGCTCTTCATCGTTTTTCTTTTCAAAAACCTTCAGTGACTCAATAGAAATGCAACACTTTCTCGATTCAGATCATCACCCACTCTAAACTTGCACATTCAAATGCAAATTGAAAGCCGATTGAGTTTAACGTGGACTGGCTAGATTGTTGACACATATTTTGATTGGAAAATTAGTTTCTTTAAATAGAGAAACCAGCTGGACATTGTAACTGGTGGCCAGATGGGTTTTGTCAGTCAGAACAATGGGTGCTAAAACTTATCATTTGTCGTAAATTTGATAATAAAGAACTGCAAAAGGACAGAAATGAATCGAAGTTGGTTCATGACGAGCCTTCGTGAAACAAGGTTGGGAGTAAATGCTGGGTCAGTTAGACTAACCTGTTGGGATATGTTGGAAAAACTCACTGCATGTCACAACAACAAGGTGATGATTTGAAAAACAACACGTTTGGTTACTGTTCTGATATTTAAAAAAAAGCACGTGGAACAGTCTAACATGGAGTACCACGTTTTCCTGATTTTTGATCAACTATTTTCTACCATGCACTTGTTACTTGTTGAGTGGGCCTCTTTTCCTGATAGCTAGATTCACATCAGCACCTTGAATTACTTGATTAGTATGCGCTCAATTCTAAGGCTCAACACTTCTTGTTTTTATCACAAGGGAATCTTTCAGACATCTTCTTCCCCCTTGGCCGAAGGATTCCCTAAGCAGACACTATTTTAGTCTAAAGAGTTAATGTTAGTTTGTGACACACATCGCATACTACTGATTTGGGAAAGAGAAATCTAAAGAGGAATCTAAAGGAATGGTAACCAGTTGAATCTGGCTGGACTTTGTACTTGGTTTACGTGCAAATGATCAGAAGAATAGCTAGCTTGACGCTAACACTTCAATCTTCACGATCGGAGAGGAAAGCACGCAATGAAAACGATGCGACTCAGCGCACAACATCAAAACTGAGATTTAATTTTAACTGAAAATTAAAGTTGGCTTAAATTTTCTTGGAGTTGGCTAACGAACTTTACAGTTATAACTTAAATGTCGTTTAAAACTTTAAAACTGCCATTTATGCCATCTTAAATATACTGGAACAATAGGAGAAACTTTAAGCAAGAACTAAACACTCGCTAAAAGAAGTTTCAGTCTCTCAAAAAAGAAATAACACGCAGACTGTGATGATAAACGTTATGATAAAACGCATTGTTAGAGAAAAAAAGCATTTTATCGTAATGTTATCACCGCTGTCGCCTGTGGTGTTATTTCTTTTTAAGCTACGATGGCCAAAGAAAAAGAGTATTTACGTTGAGTCTCTTTAAGGCGTATTTAAACGTGAGCGTATACCTGATGTAAAGGTCAGATTTAAAAAGTGTAAAGGTAACGTAAAGTTAAATTTCAAATTGACGGTAGCTTTTCGCTAGCTTTACACAGCAGTAAGGTCAGTTATCTTTTCATTTTGTGCGGGATAATACGTTTTGGGAAGGAAACCGTTCATGAGACTGCGTTAATTCAACGGCACCAAAAATAAGTCTCGTTACGTGATCGTAGCCATACAAACCTTGACTAACGTGTTTATTATTTTCGCCATCTGCTAATTTTGACCTGTTCTTTTCTCTCAGTGATAAGTGCCACCATTGTTTTGATGCTTTGATATTAGACTACCAGTGCCAACAGCAAAGACCCGTCGGCTGGTTGAAATGCATGGTCTCGTGTAAAACTTTCGATTCAACAGCACGTGAACTAAATGCTCTAAACCTTTTTCGGTCTTCCAAATACACTCAAACTCTAAGCCCTAAGTTAGCGCATTTCAATTTGATAATACAAATTAATCTTCAAGGAGGAAGCCTGCATAACAAAGTGGCTTAATGTCCTCGATTGAGATGACAAAAAATGCAAATAACTGGAGGGAAATCATTACGAACCTACATGAACAAAAGACCTAAAACGGCACTTATATAACTTTCAACAGATGAGTACATAAGTTAAGGAGAAAAAGTTAATTGAGAAAAAAAGAAAATGTTTCGTTTACTCACTGCCTTTCTTTCTCAGTCGAATCTCTACTACTTATGACGGCGCTGTGTTAGAACTCAGACCGCCTACTGAACCACCCCCTGACCATAACAACTCTAAGGTATCAGTAAGAGTCGGGCAACACATTCCACCGGCCTAATTCCTTCCCAAACAAATAAATAATTAAGATATGAATGTCAATATTTCGAGAGGAAGCCACATCAGCCTTAGCTGGTTCAATTTCATGCGGGGCGTCTCTCCTGGTTAAACTGGAATTTGGAGATGTTGGTTTTTGTGGAGGGAGGAAAGCCGGAGAAACCGGTTAAAAACCCTCGGAGTAAGGCGAGAAGCAACAACAAACTCAACTCACACATGGCACTGAGCTGGAATCGAACCTGGCGGGGCCTCTTTGGTGGGAGGACAGCGCTGTCATCACTGCGCCATCCCTGTTTTCCACCTCGTCAACTTTGTGGCAGTGCATTTCTTTCAGCCTATATATTGCAAGTAAACCCCCCAAAATCGGTCCCTCCCACCATAAACTTTTTCCTCACTAACATTGTCCCTACCCTTGCCCGTACTCCTGTCTCACTGTTACTTTTAGTAACTGCCAAACATCGGTCGATCCCTCTGCTCGTGTTCATTCCCTTGGTCATTTGCGTTGTCTGACAAGCTGAGTGCTTCGAACGTACATTGCAATACCATTTCCCGGCATGTGCCATCTCCAGTGAACGGTCTGAGCTGAGGCTGCTTCTATTTTAGGAGTCATGGTTTAGGATGCACTCCAAGAAATCGTAAAATAAGGAGTTTTATTTCCTTTTTAAGTGATGTCAAATAAAGATCTAGACGCGCCATTTTCCCATGAGCATCCCTAACCTTTACACATGGTGTCCCCCTGGGAGCTGTGCGCAATCCGTACCTCATATAAGAACGTTGTAGGTTTCAGTTAGGAATTAATACCGCATTCTAAACCCACCCGTCCTCTCCTTGGTAAACAACTTAGCCTGTTCCAGTCGTTTCGGTTGGTTGGTGAACAGCGTGAAGAACGGAGCCGCGCCCCAACCATTCGCATCAGTTTAAGTACTCCTCGCCATTCTGGCTGTATCTCGAGTAAGTAACCAGTAACAAAAGTCGTTGTCGTTTAGTGTTCAGGCCTGAACGTAACGTCCAAGGGAAGTGAATACGAGGCTAGTTATTTACACGTTTTGACTTCGTGTCCATTAAAACTGTCTTTGAATGTCTTGCTGCTTTGTCATATTCTTCGCACAGCTTGTAAGCAGCATTAATTAATGGGCGGGTTGTTCACTAATAGGTAAAATCAGCAGGAGGAAAATGACTACTCCTCAAATGAGATAATAGTTTCAGTTAGGTGTTGAACAGATATGCAAATTTTTCTTTGACAGTCAAGTGGAAACTGACCTGCTGTAGCTTTTCATGATAGTTTTAATCAGGACTTGGAGAACCAGCACTGACAAAATTCACTTCAAGAAACTAGCTAAATTTATTTTATTGGCATTTCCTATTTAAGGAATTCCACCTATCTTTCTTGGTCTTCATTCTCTGATACAGGGATGTCATTTATTTTATTCGTGTGTGGACAAAGGCATCCGATGATTTGAGACGTTTCCTGGCGCCATATTATTCCTTATTTGCTCTGATAGATAAAAGTGTTTTCCATAATAAATGATACCCGCTAGAATCCCGGCTTTTTATTAAACCAGGCATAAATACACATTTTCTTTATCCTGAATGTCACCTTTTTGCCAAAAATACAAATACAACAGAGGCGGACCTAGGATTTTTCTAAGGAGGGGGTGCATCATCAAGGAATGGCGTAACTGACTGGTGAGGTAAACGAATTTTAAAAGCGAATGCGAAAAAGAAGGCTTCATCTCAGGCGGGGGGAGGGGGGGTGGTGTGCAGCCGCTGCTCCCTCCCCCTAGATTCGCCACTGTACAACATGACGAGGCCTCTGCCAATGGTCGGTGAACTGCTTACTGCTTTGAGCCTGAGTCTTGTTTAGTCTGGCCAAGCTGGAAATATGACATATTCCTATCGATTGCGGCCGCACATTTCTACTTGTGTCATTGTATGTAGCGAGTTATTTTTCTCCACGATCTTGATTTTTTGGTAAATAAGTGTAAAAGGCATAAGCTCCCTCGATGAGCAGTCTGTGCTCTTTGGGCAAATGCCGAATCAAAAACATTGTCGAAATAATAATAACAATAAAAAAAAAGAAAAAAAAAAAAAGAGAGAGAGAGAAGGATCTATATTGACTTCGCCGCTAGTGCTAGTGTCTGCATGAATTTGTGTACTGATTTTCTTAAATTAAATAGATTCCCTAAAGTTATGTTGAAATGTTGTATTTTTTTTTTCGGCTATTGATAAATGAAGAGAATTCTCGAAACGTGAATGAACTGCAAATCCGTGAGTCTGATCGCGACACCTCCCGGCCACTTTTTTTTTTCAAGCATATGTTAAAATAAATATTTCTAGAAAAAATAATCTTGCTTTTGTGATTTGTATTAATACATTTAATTGAGGGGCACTTTTTCTAAAAAAACCTTTAATTTGTGGGAGTGATACAAAAGCTGAGAACCTATAGAAAGTTTGGAGTTTTTGATTACAAGACGTTTTGCCAACAAATACTAGTGAAATGCATAACAAGCAAAATTTACGATATTTAACACGAGTTGTTAAGCCCAGGGCCGAGTTGTTCGAAAGCTGGTTAACGCTGGGTAAAGGTGAAGTCTGCATACGAGCCATGTGGCCCATCAGGCCGGAGCTTATCCCGGTTTCTGTAGCATGAAGCGACTAGGAGTGTTTCTACTCCCCCTGGATGGGATGCTAGTCCGTCGCAGGAATACCCCCAGCATTAAGTTTGTCGGTACCCATTTATACACCTGGGTGGGGAGGGGCACTGTGAGAGTAACGTGTCTCGCCCAAGAACCCAACACAATGTCCCCGGCCAGGGCTCGAAGCCCCACCACTCGATCCGGAGACAAGCGTACTAACCATCTTTCCACGGTTACCGCTAACTCAGGATTTAAGTGAACCAAACAATATAGACAGAAAACCGTAATGAAAAATTACAAAGTTGATATCAAAATTCCCTCTAATCGATCCGCCCAGGTTAGCTTAATCGGGCTTTGAATAACCCGGCCTTTGTTGCCAAGTAATTGTACTCAATTCATCTCACCTCAACCAAATAAACTTGGAAAGTCTCATTTACAATCATATGACAGATACTTGCTCAAAACAAATTCGAATTGGAATTCGTGATTCATATGCATGAGAAAATCCATTTAATCCCAATCGTGGACACGTATTCCCGTGAAACTGGTCTGAAAGGGAGGCTTTTTCCTGAGTATCAATAACGGAATTATAAAAAGAAGTCTTAAAAGAAGTCTCAACAGTCTTAACTTCAACAGGGCACTCTTCTAAAGCCGAGGTTGTTAATTTTCACACTGTTCTATAACTTTCTATTGCTTTAATTTTGTCAGTTAGTCTTACAAAGCTATTTGTCAGTAAGCCGACTTGTCAGTAAGAAAACAAAGTTCCCGCATTTGAAATGGCACGCGGAACGCTTAAGAAAATGACAAAGCAAAGGGTGGGGAAATACACAGCGCTCCGAAACATGTCACAACATTTCGATGCTAAAGGAAATATTATGGCGCGAAAATAAAATAAATAATCTTGTGCATATAGAAAAACTTGTCGTAATTGAAGAGGAGATTTCAAAGCAAACTGTCAGCTTTTCGGTGCAGAGTTTTCCATTAACTGGCGCCGATACGTAGACGACGTAGCGTTGCAAACAAATACAATTTGATACATTGAAATGGTTTTCGAAAAAGGCTTTTTCACCGCTCAGTAGGATGTTGTATGTAGCTGGTGGTATAAGCCCTCCTTTTACATGCACAGGTGATTATCTTCATCTCACGAGCCATTGTTTTAGCCTTTCTGAGATGGATTCGTGGCCACACCCCATTAGGCTACTTCTGTAAACAACGAGTCCAAAACAACCAAAGTTTGTTTTTACCGGGGGAAGATTTTCCCGTCAACACGAAGAATTACTATTGGTTTTAAAAGACCAAGTTTACAGTTCGTAAACAAGAAGCAGGAAGGAGTCCTATCTGTAAACACTTTGTTGAAACTTTAACCATAAACGAACCCCTTTATGTACTTGGATGATCGAAAGTTTCAAAGTACATAACCGACAATTAATTAGTTTCAACAGGATGGTAAATGTAATTCTTGGCATTTGAAGGTCGCTCAACTCTAAGCCAAGCGATAAAGTTCTTTGCGTTCTACCACGAGGATATTTTCATCTTCCGTAACGAATTGATGAAACGTTCAATGGCTAATGAACGGACTAAAACCATGCATATGCAACGAAAAATCTATCTTTTTTTGTCAATTTATTCGTACGTGTTTGGTGATTTGAGAATCTTGTGTTAAGAAATAATAACAAAAAAAATTACCTGGAAGCTAAAAGGTTCACCTCCTAGGGTTCTAATAAAATTCTCATAATTGGTTCGCAGTTGTGATTGGCGAGCGCAACCAACATAAAGTGACCGTAAATAAACAGGCCGCGGGCTTTCCATTCAGTGGTTGATCACGTGACAACTTCCATTCACCAAGAAGCAGCCACCTGTCTCTACTACTCCGTCGAAGCCAAAAATGTGTCAAGAACTTGTTGACATGTGTCAATAGCACCCCTAAATAAAGCAGCATCTTTTTCATTCACTTGAAAAGTTGGTTTTAATACAATACAGCTTCGTTCAGGAGGGTATGGCTGTGAATTTCCCTTTACTTCTGAGCCAATCCAAGAAAATATTGCTTAATTAGGTTTTATACTCGAAATGCTCGGTGGCTTATTACCAGTCGTAATGTAAAATTAGTTTGAATTCGTTACGTGCCAAAAGAATAGGGGCTCAGAGTGCAACGTGACTTGCATATAGTTCCCTAGTATCTAAAGCAACGTGGAAGAATGACTTCTAATGCAAATCGAGGGGGAAAAAAACAACGTGATTAGCGAATTGTACATAACTCGTGGGTCACGAAAGGATAATGCAATAAGCCACTGCTACTCAGTCAGTAACTAATGTTTTCCGCACATGAGACTTAAGGTTTTCAGCCAAAACCGCAATTCATACAATTGCACAGTCTCATCACAAAGAGCTCTCATTGATAAATAAATTTCTCTTTATTTTTATGTTTCGTGATGACACAAGGTACGAATTGCTTCAACCCTTGTTTTATATTAAATTGCAAGTTCTAGAAAAGCTTTGCTTTCCCCGTTTTTCTTTTCTTTCTTTTTTTTTTACAACACCACAGTCCCCTTGGTTTCTACGGTCCTATTTGAAATAAAATCATTTTTTGTATAGAAGCTTTAGATACAATTATGAAACCAACCTTTCTATAGATATCTATATCGCGTCGCGGTTTGTGTTAGCAGTCGGATGTTAATTTTGAATATATGTTTGTTTGGCGGAACCCACGCCAACCAGTCATTTCAAACAGCTGATGAATCCAATTCACTATTTCCAACACGGGAACGGCGAAAGTTCTAAACGCAATGCATGGCACATAAAGTTTACTTTAAAACAGTCTTCCGAGATTATGATAAAAAAGACGTATGCTAATTGTCCCTTCGTACTTGACTATTCTTCAACAACACTGTGCGATTATTTTTTTTTACCTGAGATTATTTGTGTTTGCTGGCCTGGTCGTTTGCATTTCTCACGCTAATAAACGTTATTTTCTGTCACGTTCATCGTCACTCGTCCATGTTAAATGCTATAATTGGCCTGAAATACACCTCATCAAGGATGGAGCGATCGCTCTTCGGAACATGAACGAACGCATTTCTGGAGAGCTGCATCTTTTCAAAGTCGAGCCTAGGACGACGTCTTTTCTTGTCATTGGCGTTTTCATTTACCTCCAAGGTGCGTTTAAGTGGACCGGAGTCGCTCGGCGTTCGACTTCTGTTCTGGATCAACTTGTGCGAACCCGTAATCTCGGTGAGAACACTCGGCGGCAGTAAATCTGTGTTTGAGCTTAATGGATTTACTAGGAGTCCACTTACTTCGTCATCTGAAGATTCAGTCAAGTCCGCGGCGGTGTCTGATTCTTTATGCCTGTTTGCTTGATTTGCATATTTATTAACTGATAAAGTTAGGCGCCCTGTCGATGTATGAAGATTGGTTGAATGGATTTCAGCTCCTGCCCTTACAAATCCGCATGTTTCCTCCGAGTTCTCGTCTCTCTCCCTCGCTCGTTTCAATCCAGGCTGTGCCGTATCCTTCCGCTTCGCCACCAAAGCACTTGGTAAGCTTCGACTTCGCTTAGGATTACTATGAGCCTTTCCGGCAAAGTCTAAATCGAAAGGTTCCGACCAGGAGTAGTAAAAAGCTGGTTTTATGTTGCGGTTTTCGTCGAGCCCGTGCCGACTAAGCTGGAACGAGAGCGTGTCTATACAAGGCAAACTGCTTGTTAAGGCCATTTCTGTGGGGATTATGACCGTTGCCTTCGGCTTGTAGTAAGCCTTACTCCGCGCGAGCTGATGTAGTCGACTAGCTTGGCGCGGAGCGCGGAGTGCTAGCCCGGTAACTAGTCCAATTCACACAACACACTTGCCATCGGGCCACCTGAAAACATATAAGTTCAACTATTAATGGGGCGATATGATTGGTTAAAACCAATCAATTGCACCCGTTGAGCCATTATCTCTGACAACAAAGCAGCAGGTCTACTTGGAAGCGATCATCATTCATGAAATCCTACACGAGAAATTACTCACTACTTAGAGTTTTTCATCCCATTTGGTTTTTATCATGGATTTGGGTTTCTCAGTAAGTCTTTTTTAAATTTATTTTTTATTTCAGTTTTTGCTTTACGTGCCTTCGATGGAATTGCGTGTCACCTAAATATAAAGTAACCGATTAAAACCTTCTGTGATCCAAGAAAATGTATTCGAGTGAAACTAAAACAACGAGGGCCATCAAATTAAATTAAAATTGTCAGTCGATGGCTTGAATATTGCATGTTACGAGACCACAATATATTTGCGTCAGGAATATTAAGAAGTAAGAGAAAGCTGTTTGCGTTCACATATGTTAGGAACCGAGTGTGTCAATTTTTTCAGTCTTTTTATATTTTTCCTATCTGCAAATAGCACAAGGCTGGCCGGCGGGAAAAACACAGACATCTTTCAAATTGCGTCGTATCGATGATAAGAATTATTACAAAGAAACAGTTAGAGGTATAGCTAAGGATTGTTTGATTAAAACAGGTTCTTTTCATTTTTCTTGACTCCACTAGCACTGAGTGACCACTTCTTGATCGGCGCTTCAGAGAAAGTTCTAGTTGACGGAGTTTGTTTTGCGATTGCAGTGTATACATTAGTGGAATTCTTGTCCTTCAGAGGAAAAGACACCGGCTCTTTTGTCTTAGATTTCGTAAACAATCTTCCATAATATTTAAAAGCACATTGTGAGATCCTGTAGGGCAGGTTCATATCGAGATGACTGTCACGTTATGCTAATTCCTTGTTCAGTAGCGGATCTCAAAGAAGTTTTATCTAAGATTGCACCACGTGTGCAGAGGATCCAAGAGAAATTGACTGGGTAGATTATTGAGTTTCTTTGAACACAACACACAACAACAGGAAGGTGGTACCAATACACATTATTCTCTGACAAAATTTAAATGCGAGTGTTAGCAGTGAAATCGACGTGCACGTTTTGCGAAGCCTATACCCACATGGTGTCTTGAGTGGTGGTGTTTATTTTGTTGTTTTTGTGCCGTAATACGAGAAGTCGAGATGCTGTTCTTTTGGGTGCTCTTAGTTATCTGAGAGTTTGAAAGTTTCATTGACACATATTCATACTAAGTCGCGCCGATGATTAGCTTAGGTTCATTCATCTGTCCGCCAATTTGTACTGAACTTCTTTCGCCTATCCCAGCGTCAGATATGGAAATACTCGACTAATGACAATTAATCAATGTTCCAATGAAAAGACAGCGCTGACAAGCTGCTGTTTTCATTTCGAGTAAATTATTGTACTTTTCGCAGATGTCCTAAGCCATGCTCAGACTTGAGACAACTGGACGATCAAAGGATTTGTTAGATGATAAAATGAACTCCCAGCCCACGTTATGCTTTTCAAACTTTTCTGTCCATACAGACGTGTGTGCTAATTGCTTTCAGTTTATGCTGATAGATGCTAAAGATAAAAAAACCACGTGGTGAAGGAAAAAAAAATCACCCCAAAGCACATAAATATGACATGTCTGGAATTCTGCTCTCGCAACGTCTATCGAGAAAACGCTACGATCAATACGTTAATAGTAGCCTGCGTCGTCCGGAGGTTAGGGCGTTTTCTCTGTACGCAAATTATATAGTGACAGTTTCACGGTCACCTGTACCAAAGATAATAGGGGTTATATTTATAATTCAGCTTGTTATTCAGTTGAAACGGTTGGAATCTATGGATTTGGAGAAAATTATACTGGCTCAGTTCTCGGTGTAAAAGGAATTCACATTTACAACGACTCCACGAGTAAAAATCAAACAACATCTGGGTTAAGAGCAAAAATAAAACGAAAATAAAATAAATACAGAAAACATGCAGTGATTCAACAAGACGTCTTTCTTTCCGCACTTTTTTAGCATAATTCACGCCTTCTTCATAAATTATGTTATGAGTAGCTTCAAAGGTTTTGAGACTGGGTTTTCACGCTACATTCTCCCAACGAACTGAACGATTACATAACGCATTCTGGCTGGCAATCTTTTTTTTTTTTTTTTTTTAAAAAANTTTTTGAAAAAAAAAAAAAAAAAAGCAGTATTTAATTCGTCAAAATCTCCACTCCGCTGATTTTAAAATTCTTTTCATTTCGCAGCTATGGTCTTTGTAGAATACAATTACAACTTGTTATAATGAAGGTGGCAACATAAATAGGAACAATGAACAAAGAACAAGAATCAAGATCGATCGCAGGTTTTTAATTCACCAAACCGTAATTTTCGTCCTGGCCTACCCCGTAAGCCCGAAAATTTTCACAAAGATAGGAACAGATCGCCAGAGCAGTTCTGAAAAAGTTAATACAATTTTGTCTTCTCATTAAGCAGTCATTCTTTGTTGTAACCACAACAATTACTTTGCACTTCAGTCATTAAGGATTCACGAATTTTTGTTTTGAAATGCAAAATAGGTCGAATTAATTTCAATGAACTAATTTCTTTTAGCTTGAAAGCCGCAGCTGCTATTTTGTACGGTCAGAAATCACTTAGCCACAATACAAATGAACGAAAAAGCTGCTTAAACATCGATTTACAAATTTGAGATACAAATGGTCCCGCTTGAGACATCTTGAAGATGAATAAATTCCCGAAAGTCGCTTGTAGTCAAATGAAAATAAATAAAAAGGCATGATCGCCCTTTCTTGTCAACGAAGCGACAGCATTGAGAATAGATCGTGAACACCTACCCTTTCATAGGCATTCTTCACAGATTTCTTTAAAATGGTTTCATATTCTCTATAAGAACTGTAGGTAAAGTACTTATTTTTTCTCGCCAACCAGTCGATAATTAAGCCAATTTTATGAAAATCTTTGAAATTGTTTACACGTTCGGCTTGAATTATCCAAGTGTCAAGACAAAAACGGAATCCTGATATATCTCGCCTGATTTTACATTGATTCTACGCTCATTTGATCATGCGATGCCTTAATTATTTGCCAAGTAGATCAGTCACTTCATCGCCTTCTCGTAACCATGCATAAAGGATGAATTCGTCCACGTCTAGTCGAAATAACTAAAATATATCTGATAAACGCGAGGGTGCGTTGATGAAATGGATCGCGGAATAACTTACTTTTGCCAATGAAGCGTTCCCTCCGACAGATTAAAACAGCGTCAAAGACTGAAATTAAATTGGCTTAAAGCATGCTTAGAGCAACTGCCTCATAGTCGTTTTACTATAAATGTGTTACGTTGTACTGAGTTGCATTGTTTTAAGGGTCATTGTGCCTGTCTTGAGTTTGAATGCAGAACAACTGGTCGCTTTCCGGACGACATAAATGTTGCCATGCCAACATCACGGTAGTGCGTTTTCTATGTAAATTCGACAGCACGATATTGCCCAGCACGTGTGGATAGGTCAAGGGTGTGCGTGGCTTAATGCCTGCTCTTTGCTTCTGCTTTGCTCAGAGAAGAATGGTTGAGTGGTTCTTTCCCTGCAAAGAGACCTTCTTACTTTTTGTAAACCCTTTGATCTGTATTGATCAAGAAAATGAGAATCCTGGTGCGCCAGCTGGATGACATGTTTTCTACCTTAAATATACCTGGTCGTATTGGGATCAACCACTTTCGTTTGTTCGACTTGTCTCCCAACAACATTGAGCTCCGTTTGCAAAACTGACTTGATTGCAGCACGATAAAAAATAATTCTCAATTTTTCGCGCCCGTTTCTGGTTGAAATGATCTACAACGGCTTAACACTGGTTTCAAAAACGCAGACAGAGAACGGTAAACGTACGGATTCCTTACGATAAAGCCAACTACGAAACAACCAAAAATATTTTCAAACGTCGTTGTTTATAGTGGTCAATGCGCTTAGCTACACTTGGCCAGTTCACAGGTGTGCCATGCACTTAAACTGAAAGAAACAAACATATCAACTAAACATAATAGGCTTAAAAATCCCAACTGGCGGGATGCAGGCCAGTTGGCTATTTACAAGCATGACTGAGGAGTTGAACTAGGGTCTACCGGAGAAACAACTCCAATTTTAGTGGTCAGAGCGGGACTTCAACCCGCAACCTCCGGATTTCAAGTCTGGCGACCTAACCACTCGGCCACGCTGCCTTCTCATGGAACCATGCAATCCAGCCAACCGGCTTGATCAGTCTCACTGAATAGAAACATGTCCTAACAATATGGTCAGCCATTTCTGGAAAGTGTCGTGAAAAGTATTCCCAGTGATTGGGCGTTTCAGTTATACCAAATCAACTAAACTGGGTTTACATTTCAACAGTCCTTCGAGCGATTTCATGGAAGAATACTTGTAACTAGTTGCTTCTAGTTTTGGATTTCATATACATTGTCCACCTTGTAACATTAGCAATGACAAAAGCGTTGCTTCCCTTCGTTACTATCGCTACTATCTATAGTCAGGTAGGTAATCAGGGCCGTAGCTATTAGCAGACAAACTGAGGCAATTGCCTCAGTGATTTCTATCAACTCGATGCTAGTGGGCCTTGCGAAGGCCGAGATGGGTTTGAAAAACTCACATGATCCATTCTTACTAGTCCAGTTACCGTTTGCAGTAAAAACTACCGAATTTTGGTCAGCCTTTGTATTGATTAAATTTCTAATATACCTGATAATTAATCTTTGGAATGAGATCTTGGCCTCTTCTTGAAAAAAGGAAGGCATTTAACAAGTCCAATTCGTATTGCAACCCTCTTAAAGTAAGTACGTATATCGTCATCTGGCTGAAAGTATTAGAATCCTGTACGGCTCTTCTTCTCTTATTCGTGCTAGTCCCATGCTATTTAGTGTACGTAAAAAATTCATTATACATGTATGTATTTTTATACGGAACCAATAAATAGACAACAGTCATGGAAAAGTGTCTTTGGAAGTCTCATGTTTGCAGGTGCGACTCGGAAGTTTATTATTAGCCGAAACACTTGCGCTTGCTGTTTGTACTTTGTTTATAACGTCCCTGCTTAGAGGGAGACGGCTATTTTAATCTGACACTTAAATAAAGTTATTTTTCGGATGCAGAACAATGCCCTGGCTGGCGAACTAAATTTAGTTATCATCGTTTCGTTCTTTATCAAACCGAGAGGTGCCAAGGAGAAGGCAACGTCGGCAAGCGTTGATTCGCCGCTGGTTCAGCTTTGACTGAAATTTGATGTATGATGGATGTCAGACTATCATCAACTGATGTTAACTGTCAATATTTGATCATATCAAATCAAATGCGCCCAAACAAAATCAATCACCGGTTAACAGTTTAACTCTGTAAGGCACAAGGACTTTTGGCCCAATTTATCCACTTTCTAGTCATGATGTTGCTGAGCAAGTTGATGGTTCTACAATACAGCTGACGAATAGGTCAATGGGGAATCTCAGGGACTCTACTTCCCTTAAGTCACAAGGAAGACTGTTCCAAAGAATGGCGCCACTATAGCTAAAGCTATTTTTATAATAGTTTGTGCGCGGTTTCTCGCCTCTCGAATTTACAACTTAGATTTTCTGGAGCCAACACTTGCAAAAACTTATAAACCATCGTAGCGCTTTGAATTTGCCGCTGGCTTGTTAAATTTTTAAACCCGAGAAGTTTGAACAGGTGACCAGCATCTACGTCATAGTTTGAGTAGGTCAAAACACGGGCTGCTCTATTTTGTATTCCTTGATTACAATTGGAAAGCTTTTCAGCGGGTGCCTGGAAAAGCGTATCAAAAAGGTGTGTAAAATGTAAAATGTCAAGTTTTTTTTGTTTTGTTTTGTTTTGGTTCGGGAAGAAATATTTATTAGTTGTGTAAATTCCATAGAAATACATGCGACGAATTGGCTTTAGCAATGCATAGTTTTTATCAGTTTTTTTTTCTATCTTAAGGGCAAAGGTATATAACATGATTATGACTGATCGAGAAAGTACGCGTGCTACTCAAGTTTCATCTTCATCCATGTTTATTGGGGTGCTTGCATGTTGTCCCCGCTATGTATTTCATGCTGCCTCTTGTCGATCTATCAATCATTTTCCATCAGGTGGTCTGCTAGATCCACGTTTGTCACTCCCCTTCGTGAATTTTCAAAGTAAAACAATTTTGTTAAGTAGGCTAAATTAGGCCGCCATCTTTGTGGTGTCCCGATGACCCAATACAGCAAGATCAGATAATTAATGATAGCACTCAGTTCAGCAGAGAGATGCCCCACCTATCGTCGTACCTTGAGATCAGAAGTCGCTAAGGGTTTTAAAAGAAACTTATCTTTGAAGGGTATTAAACATACTGTTTATTTACTGAAATCACCATGTTAAATTCAGGCTTTGCCAGTTACGTTTCAGCGTTGTACATCCAGGTTATGCCTGTTTTTGTGCTCTCCTTGCCTCTCCCTCACAGTCAGTAGTGGGCACCCTCGCTGCCTCAGCTCGGTGTCGTTTAGTTGACTGACATCGGTAAAGTTGAAAGAAAAAGGAGTGCCAAACTACAGAAAATATTCGATCTAAATAATTTCAATTCTATTTTGTATTTTGTATTTTAGGAGTTCTTACTGATGAGCGAGGATGCATCTACAAGAGTAGTATACCTACAATGAAAATGCTACTTGAAGGAGTCCAAAACTACAGGAAATCAAATATTTGATCTGTTTAACTCTTCGATCTTAGTCGTGTTTATGTTTATTTGATTTGATTTGATTTTTTTTTTACTTGTTTAGAATACGTAAAATTATGGTTGGGAATGGATGTAACCTTCACTGAAATGACAAACGGCTCTGTATCATTATGTTTATTTAAATCTTGTTCGCCTTTTTATGTAAATATTGTGAAGCTAGTTAGAAGCGCATGCAACCAAATCAAATCTGCCGTTCAATTTTACTATTTGTTTTCATCGCAAAAAAAATATATTTGTCGCCCCACTCGTGTTCTCGTTGTATGTGTTTTACTGCTGTAGGTATCCTCTCACATCAGTACTAACTCATAAATTTAAATTAAAATTTGAAATAAAATTTGAATTGTTCAACATTCAGACATTTATGTAAAAATATTGATCAATATCTTCCGTACCGGGTTAAGCTGCGTTTAAATTAGAGCGAGGATTATGTTGGGTAACAGCCATGGAACCTTTCAGGTACTTCCCAGTTTATTCTGTCAAGTATAACAACCATAGTTAAACTCGATACTTCTTTACCTTTAAAGTTTTTAACCAGTTGACTCTCTGGTCCAATCTGTGCACCACCAAACCGCTTTATTTTCATATTGTTGTCAATGAGGCTTCACGTTGAGTCTACAAATCCAGTTTGTTTTCTTTTCATCGAAATTTTAGAGTTCCAGTTACTACGCGAGCGCTAGCTAAAACGTCGTAGATCAGAGACCACCAGCAGGGTGCTGCTGTGATGCAGTAACGTCTGATCAAAACCCGATAATTTTTTGTTTCACATTATCTTAAGTTCCTAAGCTTGCTTGCCCTATGGACTTACTTGGCCGCCCGTCTCGCGTTTATCGTAAAAGCGGGATTGACAAGTCTCAAAAAGTGAGAAAACGCCCTTCTTGGTGTCTCGCTGAGTCTCAGTAGAACAAATGGACTGCAAATCGAAAATAACTGAAAGACACGGACGGCAAGTATTTTTTCGGAGAACGGCATCTTGTCGCGCTCAGTTGAAGGGTGATTGATTGCCTTTCGGACAGGTAGTCAGTTAACCTGATGTAATTTTTTTTGAACAAAGATACGAATAATACTGTTTATTCATGTCGTACCGTGATGCTTCAGAAATTATACATTTCTCCACGATTGCCGACTCACTATGTTTATCCCCACTTTCGCTGTATAGCGGAAATCTAAGTTTCCTTTGATAACCCACTTTTTTTTTTTAGTAGAATTATTAACCGTCGAATGGGGTAGGAGTCTAACGAATCGAGATTGGTCAAGGCTTCAGCTGGGGAGCTACTGGCTGGAAGACTCGCCAACCGTTGTAAACAACCATGGAGCACGCATGTAAATTAATCGTCATTCCACCCACGCATAAATACTATATGTTGTAGTGACTGAAAGTCGATGAGAAACGGTTGGTAGATAATCAATGGGTTCCCAATAGTGGAGTGTAAAATTTACTGCCAAGTTTCGAATTTTCGTCAGTTTACCAATTCGTTCGAATTTTAAAATTTCATAAACGGCACAAAATATCTATTCATGGTTTGGTTGTAAAATTCTCAATGAGTTTGTTTTTCCATTTTTTTTTTCTTGAGTATGATAACCTTATACCGCCTAAGTAAGTCCGATGAATGAACGACGCAACAATTTTTTAAATACGGAAACCAGTTCAGTTACCAAACTTTTCAAAGGCCGGCAAGTTGAATAAACAAAACGGCTGAATTGGTGAGCTGGAGATGGGCATGTTTTTAATCAAGATCGCATTTCCCAGCTTATATATTTTCAGAATTCTTTGAGAACCAATTGTCCAAATTTGTAGATACACTTGTAATTTAGAATTTGGGATATAAAATCGCAGACGCAAGCAACTTCGATATCATACGAAAACTTAATAGATGACATTTTCTTTCTGATTGAAATATTTCTTTGTACAAATTGAAGCGGTTTGTGTTGGAGCGGCTGAATCCCGCACAATATTTTGCGGTCAAATATATTACACCGGTGCATGTAACAGCTATCTTCGAAATTTTGGCCTACATGCCGGATGTATAGACTAAGCGTAATATATTTGAATTTATTTTTTTCCAAAACTTGCATGAACAAAGCAAATCTTGGCCGTTAAAAAATGCTTGTATTAACTGAAAGAAACATGATCTTACCGTTTATCATCTAGAGTTTCTTGGATTGAATTTGTCGAGAAACTAGCTTCGATAATTTCTCTCCTAGCCAGGCACCTTGTAGGGCTTTGAACTGAATGGGGGCTTTTTAAATATGTGTAACACCATGAGGTATCAGTTACGTTTC